CTTGGAAATTTGCTCTGTGAGTGCTGCCAGTGCAGAGGCTATCTTGTAAGCGTCATAGTAACAGGCCCTGCACGTGGCCTTTGCATGACCTATGGGCCTGTCACTCAAGGGTGACCTAGTTTCCCTGTCAGACGCATGCCCAGTGTGAGAGAGGATAACAGTGCGCATGCCCAATTATGTTATATAATCAGACTAGAAAGTTCTGTGGAGTATACATTCTGATTGGCTACCAAATTCTGATAAAAGGCTAGCGAGCCCCCTCCCACAGAGAGAGAGAAAGAGAGGGAGAGGGAGAGGGAGACGGAAAGGGAGAGGGAGAGGGAGAGGGAGACCGACCCGCGTAACTGGAGACAGAGGCTGACTCCTTACTCCTTCAGGGACTGTCCTCCAGTTAGGCCCTTGGGCCTATTGGCCTCTCTCCCCGCCTGGCGTTCTCTATTGCTAACTGTATTGATCCTCGGCTTCCAACCATCTTCGACTACGATTCCAGATCACCCCTACAGACTTTGACTGCAACCTCGGCGTGACTTACCTGGCTCCTGACTTCAGCAATCACCTCAGCTACCCAACTGTTCTGTGGACTGGCGACACCGACGCGTTACAGTTTTGTTCCGTTATTTGTCTTCCTTCATAAACTGTTGACCGTCCCTGGGACTTACCTGACAGGCAGCCGCACCTATTCCCGGGCTCCGGCACCGGGAGTAGAAAGCAAAGGCCTGTCGGCGAACTCCGTGGGACAACAGGTCCCCCCTGTTGTGTGTTGTTAACTGTAACTGAAGACTCCGTACCTGCGCTCTACCAAGTGTAAGTTAATAAACCTATTCAATTAAGGGACATCCAGCTTCCGTGTTACTCAGAACTCCACCGCCGCTAGACCCAGCCTGTTCGTTTGGGTTCCACCGTGACACTTGGGACCCTTTCTCTGGGGAGGGAAACCCAGCAATAACGTCATGCCAAGTTTGTACTATATGTAAGTAAGTACAAAAGTGCTGCATCAAAGTGTGTTTATGGAGTACCCGTGCCAAAATTTTCAGCAGTTTCCAAGAAAGGTAAACTGCATCAATTCTGGAACAACTAAGTCTATGGGTACCCACAGAATTTTGTCTATATGCAGAAGTTTGTCCCTCACTTCCATGTGCTCAAGGACAGCAGGGTCTGAAAGTAAAGGGGGGAGGGGGAGGAAAGGAGCCACCTGACCTCCCCGTCCCCCCCCAATTTATTTTTCTTGCTGCAGCAGTGGGAGGGGAAAAATTCAAAACAAACCTCCAATAATTAAATTATATACCTGGAAATGTATAACAAATTTATAAATTTCCCATAAATGGAATCTAATTATTGGGGGGTCATCTTATATTCAAGTAAATACAGCAATTTTGCGTCAGAAAATCTATTTCTTATACTAGACAAGATAGAAAGTGTAAGCTTGATGTTTGCAGAAGACAGCCTGGCAAGTTTAAAACAATAAAACATACAATCTGACAGCAAACTTGCTGCACTCCAGGATGGTTTTTTGGTGTCACAAGAGTTCACCTAATTAAATACTACTTCTGCCAAATGGTGCTGGTACCATTTTGCCAAATCAAAGCCTCCAGAACCAAAAAATTGGAAGAACCTATAATTTTTCCCCAAGCTCCACAACTAAAGATTCTTGTGCTCCGATTTACTAACATTTTGTCAAAGTGCTCCCAAAAAATCTATTCCACTGATCACCTAAGAAAGCCCAAGTAGTAAGGTATGTCCCTTCCTATGCAGAAGGGGAGTGAGCCCAAGCTTTCAATGAGCTCGACAGTGCCAGAACCTGGCATTTGTATGAAACCATGCCGACTTCAATGGGAAACCATCCATTCAGAGCTTATCACAGGATCTTAGGGGTCCTCCTCACATAAAATAAATAAATAAAGCCAAAAGCCATTTCTCATAACCTGATTAACAAACAAATAGCACCTTCCCCACCCCACCCCCCGAGAAAAACAGCCCACAGCCCCGTCTCGCTCCCCACCCAGGCCCTGTGACCGCGAATTCCAGCCCCAGGCCCCATATGCAGCCCAGGCTGGGCAGCAGCCCCAGCCCTGCCTAACTCCCTCCCCCTCACTACAGAGGTCTCAATTTCCTCTTCCCCACCCCACACCAGACTTACCTGCGGAGCTGCAGCTCTCCAGATCAAATGGCAGCCTCGTGCATCTGTATGTGTGCACGTGCACATGGTACCCCCTGCTTGATCACCCTCCTCCCGCTCCCCGCAGCCCCTTGCAGGCAGGAACTCTAACAGCCTAAAGGGGGAAATGCACTGTTTCCTGCATTTTTCTCCTTCAAATGAGAAAATCCAGGTTTTACTGCATTTTTCCATTACAAGTGGAAAACCCAGTTCCCTGGTAATATGGTACAGTAGGGCCATGGTGACATTCAGCCCAAGGGATGTATGACCTGGGCAGCGGATGACTTGGGGAGATGCAGGCCCCAAGCCACTTGAAAACTGAACAGACCTGATTTAATGCAACACCAGGGATAAGTCACTTCTAGCAGGGACTGTTCAACCATGGTCAGAAAGCAGGTGACTATCAGAGACAGAGAAATCATTCCAACTTTTCTATTAATTTAGGGCCTGGAACCAGCTTCCATGTGAGGTGGTGCAGGCTCCCACCCTGGGGGTTTTTAAGAGGAGGTTGGATGACCACCTTATTGGGGTCATTTGACCCCAGTGCTCTTCCTGCCATGGCAGGGGGTCGGACTAGATGATCTGCTCAGGTCCCTTCCGACCCTAGAAACTATGAAACTATAATTTGGAAAGAATTAATAAGGGCTTCCATGCATCTCCTTTACCATCTCTCCCTCACCCAGAAATTTTCCTTCAGAACATGACTGTTTGGAGAAATGCAGATGGATCATATTATATTTCAAGATAAAATCACAATATGATTTTTCATAGCTTGGATGTGGGTATTTACATAATTGTAGCTGGCAGTAACCCTCAGTGTGATGAAAATTACCATACAAAGAGGGCAATAATAAGACTATATTTTGTTGATGTAAAATCTAATGCCACCCATTTTCCTGAACATTAACATTTTCTATTTTAAGCTATAAATTATATAATCTATTATGATTTTATGGGCTGCTTGTCTTCAGAAGGATATGTTAACACATGCTTGGGGCCTGACCTGCAGACCTGGCTGAAATTTTCCATCTGAGTAAGGATTTGAAGGATCAGGCACTTAGTAGAAAAGATAAAAATATTATTTCTCTATCAGAAATGCATTAAAAGAACAAAATACCCTGCTTTTACAGTTGCATCAATTTGCTATAAAGAGAAATAGTTGTTACAATCAATATTAGGCTAACTCAGGGATATCCAGCTTTTAAAGGGCTAGAGGCCACAAACTGTGCAGGCCCCCCCCCAGAATTCCTGCCATGTAAGCCCCAACCCCAGGCCATACCACCCAGCTCTGCCCACAGACCCAGAAGCAAGAAGCAGGAGCTGGAGAGAAAGGAGTATGGAGACTCCAGTAGCAGCAGCAAGGAGCAGCACAGGAGAGTAGTAGGGCTGTGCAAAGTTTCGGTCCCCGATTCAATTTGGTGGGGATTTGGCCTGATTCGGTGGCCAAATCTCCAAATCCAAATCAAATCAGAAGACCCTTTAATCTGTCCGAATCAAATCCAAACCCTCTGAATCAATTCAGAGAGATTCAGAAAGATTCAGCGATTCAGACATACACAGCTTTAAATGTTTTTTCTACTTACCTCGAGGTACCAGGTGGCTCGTGAATGCTGTGATGGTGGGGCAGATGGAGCGTCCCACAGGAGGGCGGGGGGCTCCCCAGAGTGCTCAGCAGCAGACCCAAAGTGGACCAGAAGCACTTCCGGTCCACTTCCCAGTTCACCGCTGAGCACGTGAGGGGGGCATACTCATGGGGGACACTCCATCTGCCCCACCACTGCTGCATTCATGAGCCGCCTGGTACCTCAAGGTATGTAGAAAAAACATTTAAAGCTGTGCCTATGGCCAAATCGCTGATTCTCCAAATCAGTATCGAATTTTCAGATTCAGCCGAATCAAACTGGAACAGCGATCTGAATCAACTAATTGAATCACTGTCCCTGATTTGGGTCAAATCCAAATCAAATACGGCCTGTTTTGTACACCACTAGGGAGCAGGGCCTGGATAAGAGCCAAGGGCATGAATTAACACCTCAGGGGCTGCATACAGCCTCTGACCTGTTGGAAAGCCCTGGTCCTTATCAACTAATACTTGACCCAAAATTCATGTTTAAGAACAAAACAAACCAAGAAAAAAGCAAAAACCACAAACTACACTAGCTTCAAGCTTTTTTAAAAAAAAATAAAATCAATCAAAGTAAATGGACTGTTCTGCAAAGATTTCCCTGAAGTGTTTGAAACTCAAATATTAAAGCACTAGGGATGCAGATATGATACCCTTCAAGTGAAAAAAGCTGCACTGATTTTTATTATACAAGATGAAAGATGTGAAAAATATAGCATAAATAATTAAAATAAGTCACAGGATTAAAATTTGATCAATTTTAGTAAAATATTAAATCTTTTATAGCAGATGGGCCTGTATTTTCTGATTTGACTCATTTGTACTCAATGTAGGACAAGAAAAAGGGATGTGGAGGTAGGACAAAGAGGACTTTATGCCCTCTGCATCTTCTCCAGAACCCTGGGTTGACTGGGCTCCAGGTAATGCCCAGTTAACAATGGTCACATGCACTATTCTACCAATAGGATATAAAGGTGGCATATGGAAGCTTTATCCAGGACTGCTTCTAAAATATGGTCCAACGGACTGCTATGGGAGTGGGGTATCCTCTGGACTTCCAGAATATGACCATGATTTTTGCATCTTACTGCACAGGCACACTTTGTATAGTAATACCATTTCTAACATGTAAGTATGGCTAAAAACCTAACTTTAACGACTGGGGGAAGAAATAGGATATCACAAGAAGAAACTACATAAAATACTATGGGGGACTGTTTGAAATTAACATTTTTTCAATGCCTTCCATGTAGTAGTGTGTCATCTAAATTTTTAACAGCAACAATGAATTGAACTAGGAAGAAAACCTGCTGTTACTTGAAAACCACAAGTGATAAAATTTAATTTTAAAGCATTTGCATAAAGCAGTTTAAATACATTTACAATGACATATTAAAAATGTGAGCAGTAAGCACAGAACATGCATCATCAGAAACCCTGACAGTCATGATTTCATAGTTATATGCACTGCAGGAACCTGAATGTCTCTTTTTGATGGCTTACTTTAATTTGCATCTTCCCTTTCCCTCAGAGATAAATTGTTATAATCAGTCAATAAATGGCTACATGTGTACCAACATACAGACATTATACTAGTAACAAGAAATAAAGTGCCAAACAAGATCAGTAAATACTAATATTTCTGGCACTGTTGCTACTTAAAACTTAAAGAACATATATGACTCATCAAGTTTCCTTCTCTCCCATTCCAAAAATTCAAGCTTCTGTTGTCTAAAATAGTCTAGGAGTGGAGATCAGCTGCTCACTGCTGGAAAATCTAAAATACTACTTTAAAATAATAGTGATAAGCCTTTCCAGTAAGGTCTGGGCATCACTAGTATCTTCTGACAGAGTCAACAAATTTACTAGTATTTTGACTCCGTGACAATTCTGAGACTAACCTTTAAATATTGCAGATATACATGTACATTAAAAATGGATGCAAGTCACATGCTACACAGTGTTTTCCAGCAACAAAAGAGATACACTATCAACAGTAGGTGTTCAAGTCTAAAGCAAGAAGCATACAGATGAAAGGGAGAGCCCAACAAGGCTTATTTGATCGACTTTAACTGGTTGTGCCAAGTATCTAGGTTTAACATCCCTTTTTTACTCCCAAGCACAATATTTTCTAAGCCAAGCCATGGATCACCATTTACACATAATTCTTTGCAAAAGTAGTTTCTCTATTATGCATCAGACAAATAGCATCACACAGCTGAAGGAACGGTTCCGTGAATGAAATCCTAGTCAACATATACAAATAATTGCGTCACCACGCTGTGCAGTTTTGGCTGTAAGACCACTTATGTATCCAGACCTTTTGTACCTTTGCCTATTACTGGGTTGGAACTAATTACCAACAGCAGATTCTGACGAGACAACATTTTTCTATCTGCATTTAGTGGACAGTGGACTGAACTTCTTTCTTTCTCTCCCTTTCTAGTGTAGTGCCACTAGCTGGGGTCTTCTTTGAGAGCTTACTACATACTTCACCAAGTAAAAAGACACTACTTGTTTTGCATTGCTAGCCACATCAAGAACTCTCCAAGTTTCCTCTTCATGCTGCACAAATTTCCTGTTTGTTTCTGAGTGACCCGCTAGACTTGGTTTCAATATATAATGTCTTAAGATATCGCAGCACTTCCAACAGTGGAGATTAGCTTAAGGCACTCTCTTTAATTATCCTGAAACACAAACACTATGACTGGTGTTAGGGCATGGCTAGGAGGTGTTCCTAGATTCAAAGCTTGTTTATTTATTTATTTAGGTTATTAAAAACAGTGCCTAATTATTACTGGTATAAGGAACAGTGTATGCTAATAACACAAAATTAAACCACACAAATAACCCCAAAATGAGCGCTTCCAAATCTCCCTCTCAGACAGAAGTACAAAGAGAGTTCAGGCTAGCATCACATCTAAGCCCACCCTGCTCTTCCAGCACAAAGAGATGTTCCACAATAAGTATAAAGCTCACTTGTGCAGACTCCTGGGCACAGATTTAAAAGGGCTAAAATTACAAGGGAAAAAATCCCAGATCAGTTTATAATTGTGTCAGTTTTTAACTGTAGAATATTACCACCTGCCTTTTCTCGCGTCCAATACTACCTACCCAGCATAAGAGAGAAAGGGTGAGCCAGGGGTTGCTTTGGTTCCTTAATGACAACGAACTGGCCCAAGACTAAAAAGAGCTTCCACATGAATGAAAGACCACCTTCAATCTCACCACCTGCCATTCTAAGAGCAAAAAGCACTTTTTAGATCTGCCCATTCTCACACACAGCAGTGTGTACATTAATTTTTTTAAATGTCTTTAAACCTGTGAAAACCAAACATCACACTGCATATATAATTCTCTCCCTTGGTAAAAAAAAAAAAAAAGAAAGACTAAACCAAGCATGATACATGTAGTCACATTGCTTCAGAAACCACCAACCACCATTTTGCAATATTAAAATGAGGAGGACAGTATAAGAACCGACATGGAAAAGTCATCAAAGTAAATTATTGTCAGTGTAGACATCTATATTGTATATTCCTCACCAGGAATGTTCTTTACCTCACAAAACATAGTACAGTCTTACACAAATTGAAGGAACAACTCAATATTGCTGTAACTACAAACTACAATAAATACATATATAAACAAACAAAGAAATAAAACAATTTTTAAGACCTCTGTTCGGCTCCTAACATCCACTTAAGTACATAAAAGTGCCAGGATTTTCAGAGATGTTTCAGTATGCCAGCAATCTGCAAAAATTCTACTGCAATTACCTGATACTTGTTAAAATCAATTAATCTATTAGATGTGGGTATATATGGGCTTAGATGCGTAACTTTAGACATCCAAGTTTGAAAATATGGGCCTACAGAAACATTATATCATACAGCGGAGATCCCAAGAACATACCAGCAAGAGGAGGTTTATGTGAATGAAGAATGCAGGGTACGCTGACAATTAATTTGTGGTCTGGAATTGAAGGCTCTTCTACTTCTGATTTCCTGTTGCATAAATCAGAGTATTACCACAAGAATGGCATATGCAGACCTAGCAACCCAAAAAATGTACTTTCAAATACCAGCATCTCATACCTTAATGACAAATCCACATTTCCTTGAACTCTCCCTAATACAAGAACTTCATAGGGCTTCTTGTGGGAAGAATCTAGTGGAAATATAAATTCTCCAGATCTGGTAATCTGATACAAAGGGATTCAAATACATTTTGCATGAGTCTCAGGATAAACCAGGTAAATATTTCTAATTAGTTATTTATGCTTTCAGATCTTTCTAATTATTTTTTTCCACTAAAAACAAAGATATAAAAATATCATGTCTGCTAAGAAACTACCCATATTAAATAGGAAAAATAAAAAACCTAATTGTAAATGACAGATAAACACCAAAATGTGTAGAAGAGCATCATATCACATTGAGTTCCACTCCCCTTTCCCACCCAAAGAAAAGCAATTAAACAGTTTCAGAACTTACTTTTACCCAGTGCCACTCAGCAAGGGTTTTAACAGACCAGTGAGGATAGAGTTCATCTTTAACAAAACGTAGATGCTTCTGTCTATTGGTCACCCATGTGACCACAAGACAATTTGGAGCAGCTAGTGCTGATATGGGAATTTGCTTGATTTGCCAGGGAGACAAGTAGCTGTATCTGTGTTGGTATATTCAGAGAATAAGTTAGCAAATACAAAGCTAATATTAAATTATATATGTGAACATACACACATGCACATATACACACATGCACACTTACCCACCCACCCCCGCTCCCTCCAGCGGAAAAGGCTGTATACATTTCAAGTCTGAAACTCTGCTTTATTTCCACATATACAGAGAAACTATGAGACAAGAGTGACATCCAGTGGCAAATCTCTTGGATTTGTAAATTCACTAGTGTACTTTTTAAAAAATTTAGGGGGCATAATCTTTTCCCCATCAATATAAATTAAGCATTTAAGAATTTTTACTTTTAAAGATGATTACTTTTTATACACACAGTTGTTTACAATTCCACACTCTTATTCGTATATTGCAAAAATGTTATTTAATACAAAAGAATAGCTTATATTTTTTGTTACTTCTACTCGTATCAGTACCATGCTATTCTTCACCCTTTAATGCAAAAACCCGCACGTGGATGAAAATGCCAAATGAAACAAACACACATGCAAGAAAAACAACAGTTTGATGGGCAAGTTAGAAGTTAAGAGAGAGCAATTGCTTCTTACACAATATAAAACTCATTTATTAATTTAAATTAGGATTGTCATTACAGACTCTCCAGAATCCCGAGTGAGCACCTTAACTATTAAGCTATTGGATGAAAGAGGCTCCTCCTCCTCGCTGTGTTTTGTGTGGAGCTACCTATGCTCTCAGAACTTTTATTGTATTGGGTGCCAGAGATTAAAAAAGCATTTCCCTATTCCATCTGTGAATCAGGAGGTGGCTTCCAGATAAACTAGATACCCAATTGCTTAGCGCTATTAATTTAGGGCACAACCAGCAATAGGTATTTAGGCCTAAACAATTTTATTGGTGGAAATGAAGGTACCTAAAAACGGGACACCTGCAGAGTTAGGTGGCAGTAGAGTAGGGAGACTGAAGATCTAAATTTTGGAGGTAGATGCCTAAAGAAGCAGCTAACCAACTAAGTCTTTTAGAGGAGGTAGCTCCAAGGTCCTCATTAAGATGCTCAAACCCCACGTGACAGGATAGTTATGCAAGGACTGAAGAAAGAAAAAGGTAAGGAAATTCCTAACCATCACAGAAGTCCTGGACCAGCTTCCAACTCAAAAGTTTAGCAATACATGCTTTATATGAAAGAGATTTGCTTCCAAAGAGATATGATAAAAAGGTGTGTGTGTGTGTTCTTAAATGGTGGTATCAGGAGATTCCATCAAATTAAATTGAACTTTGTAAAGATCCTTAGCTAAAAGACTACCTTTTTGCCCATGAGACCATTTGCACATTTTTTCATATAAATATCATACAAAATTGCATGTAGCATCTTAGCATTCCCAGTGTTTGAAACTGACCACACAGTTAAATGTGTGTCGGGTAACTGATTTGTAACCTCTGGCATCCCAAGAAACATGCTCTACTCCAAGTGATAAATCAGTTTCAAAATACCAACTTGTACTATATTTAGAAATAGAAATAACTCTTCCACTTTGATAGAGAGATGTTTTCTGCATGGTAAAGAGAAGGCGTAAATAGGACACTGTCTGTATTAATTGATTAAAAATAGAGAAGAGTGTAAATGTCTATTTAAAAAAAAACAAAAGAAACACAGCACTGCCGCTCTTTCCAATGAAGCCCAACACTAACTGTGCTATGAGTCTTTTTTTTTTTTCAAATAAGGTGCAATCTTAACTTTGACCACAGTAGGACAGACATCTTACTCACAGGCATACTTCACTCAAAGTGTCTGTAATGGTTGAAAGTTAATGCTATACATACAGATAAGTGAAATTTTCAGGGTTGGATGTGCTTCTGCATGTATTGTCTGGCAGTGTAAGGTGAAGGCTGAATATGCTCCAGGAGAAGAGTCTGTGGCTCTGCTTGGGCTTTTGATGCTTGAGTGAGCTACTACAGTTACTTTTTATGTGGGTTTCAAAATAGACATAATAATCTAACCCTTTAACATCAGAAGAGGGGTTTTTTTTAATAACAGGCTTCCAGATCTATTGCACAAGAAGTATATCAAAATTTACTTTGAAAAGTTGCAAGGTCAAACGCTCACAATTCTGTGGTAGCCAATGAAATTCCATCAGCTTAATAGTGATACCATTCAGTGGCAAAAGAGGCCTATAAAACTCTAAAAACTTTACAAACTAAAGTCACCTAGTCAAGTGACAGACCTCTGTTCCAACGCATGCTAATTAGCATGCAGAGCAGACTCGATTAATCGAGTCTGCTGGAACGTGTTAATTAGTGTGCTCCAGCAGCATCAACGTCACATGTATTTAGCATCCCCGTCTTTTAAAATGCTGGCAGGGGTGCTTTAACAAAAGCTCTAACAAAATTTAGTTAAAGAGCTCCTGTCACCATTTTGAAGCGTGGGATGCTGAATACAGATGACACTGTGGGCGAGCCACTCTAAAGCACACCCCCTGCCCCAGCATCCCCCAGCACATGTATAGATGCCCTAAAGTGTTTAGCAGCAGATCCTATCACAGCTGAACATTTCACAACTATTATCACTTTGCTATTTCTACCAAACAGGCAGAAAAAACAACCTTGCAAAAAAATTCTGAAGTTTCTACAATAGGCTCCGATCCTGCAAATATTTACAAACTGATTTCAACTGGCTTATGGTAGTAAGGTCAAGCATAAGTAACTGCAGGATCAGGGGGTCTTAAAGTATACATGACTTCAAACTTGCTAGTTAAAACATATCTTGAATCCTCTCATGGATCAAGTAATTTAAGAACTAGTCCTGAAAGCACTTTGGGAACTCCTTACCTTGAAGTGTGAGTGGTGACAGTGAAATAACATTTGACTGTATGTATATAAAGTTAGGCCCTTTCCAAAGTTTTTACTGAATAAACAGTGCAGTCTGTCCCTGTATGTGTGTTGGATTGAACCACAATACTAAGATATCAGTTGCATC